GATGATTGGATGATGGGACAAGATACTCATCAGCAGATTAGTTCAATGATGAATTTATAGTAAATGTGATGTTGGGAGGTAAAACTTGGTTGGAGGAAGTAGACATGGTGGGCGTGGCTTGGAGAGTTCTATCTTCCTCCCTCCATCCTTGATCTCTCTCTCTCTCTCTCTCTCTCTCTCTCTCTGCTTCCTGCTGCCATGAAATGAGCTGTTGCCATGTCTTTTCACCTCACCACCCTGATCTGGAACCAGTCAACTATGGACTGAAACCTATACAAGCTGTGGGCCAAAATAAACCTTTCCTCATTACAGTTGTGTACTGAGTATTGGGTATTGTGTCTCAGGAACGTAGAAAGTAACTAAGACAGGGTGTAATGATGCATAGGGGCTAGAGAAGTCATGTTTCATTTGAGGAAAAGGCACTATAATTCTGAGGGTGGTAGGGAATAAAGGTTGATGTGTACATATTTCCTGAGATTGGAAAAGGGATGTGGGAGGAGTCCAGTGATACCGTGATTTAATGTGAAGCATTTTGCAGGTTATGTATTATGTCTCATTGTTGAAATATTATGCCAAATTGTTCCTTAGTGTAATCTCATGTCACTCACTTGTTTGATTTGGTTCTTCTGAGAGCCTAGCAAGGAAACCTGATTGTCACCAGAGAAGAAAGTGATGGTGGGTACTTCTAGCTTTGATTGACAATCTTTCCTTTACTTGTAGTTTGGAGTTAAATTGTTTTCAGAATTAATTTAATGGTAAAGTTTTATTTTGGTGATAAAATCTGCATAAGATGTAGGAAAGGAATGTGTCTGATTGGAAAACTTTTGAAAAAAGAATAACATTTTTGAAAGCAATGTGACAACATACATAACATCTTGTGAACACTATAGCATATTGGCAAGTACTGCTCACAACAGAAAAGTTTTTCATCACTTTTCAAAGTCAATGAAAGCTGTAAGTGAAAGACATAGAATAAGTTGTGATGCCCTGCCTTGTGGATGAATCTTCCCAAAGAAACATTCACTAAAAACAAAGCTAAGTGACAAAGACGCTCTCACTGCAAACCACTGTGAAATAGCAGCACAGAAACTTTTATTTTTCCAGCCTCAAATTAGTATCAGTACCAACAGAAAATGGCCATACACTTACCCCAGAATCTTAGTTTTTAAAACTAGAAATTGAACAGAGGTATCATTTCTCATTACAACCAAAGATAGTTTTTACAGAACTGATTTGGTAAGATTATTTTAATAAATGCAGGGGTTAATCTAAAAAAAAACATTGAGGCTGATATCATATTCTGAAAAGTTGACCAACTAAATAGGTCATTTTCTTGATTCTGAGTGCAGAAACTCAATGTTTTGGTGGCCTGGCAGCTAGTAAGGTTATGCTAACTTTGCAAGTCCCAAAACAGAGCTCACCACACAGGATTGCTTGTGAATATCTGCACCGACACTTAGGCTTTAATTGAAAGACTCTGAAGTGTTTTTTGTTCAGAGCAAGGAATACTGAATGCAAGTAGTGCCACACAATTTATTGTGTAATCCATTCTTTGTTGATTCAACCTGCAATCTGTCCCCTCCATTTCTTCTCAATGTTAGAATTTGCAGTTAGAAACAATCATGACTGAAAGATTTTTACTTACTCTCTCAGCCCAGTAGATAACATTCCAATTCTAGGCATGGTCGTGATGTCTTTCCCATTGACTTGGTTTTACATCATTTTCAATTCATTTTTCATTCTCTGTACAGCCACAAATTCTAACTCAGTGCTTCTTAAAGGTCATCTGAAGACCTTCTGCATCAGAATTAAAAGTTCCGATTCTTGGGTCTTACTTGGATCTATGAAATTAGAATCTTAGGGAAATTAGGAGCTTTGGGCAAGGCCCATAAATCTGCATTTTAATGAGCCCCCAGGATATCACTGAAATTTGTTACTCCTGACTGCTTTGAGAGTTATCCACTCCTTGGTAGACCTTTGTAGGAACTTTTCAAATAATTCATCATATCAAAGTGCATGTCATCATTTTCTGGCTAGAAAGTATCACTTTTATTATCTCTAGGAAAGAAGAGTTCCCTCCAAAGTAGAGAATGCATTCTTCCCCTAGGAAAAAGAACTCCATTAGCTGCAGGAAGAAGGAAGGCTATCATTCCACAGGCTCAGTGCGGAAGGGAGACATCAGTTCACCCTAGGTGTCTATCAGAATGCTGACCCTTCTTTCATGGTCTATTCCCCAGGGTCCTTTCCTCATTTCTCACCAAATGTCCGCACTTGCACTCTGAACTCAGGCAGTTTGAAATGCCATTTGCCTCCTACCTCTGAACCTTCCCCGGACTGCGAGACCCCACTCTTCGTAATTAAGACCTAGTACAAATGTTACTTCCTCCGGGAAGCTTCTCTTGACTCCATGTGATTCCGTCACTTTATTCTTTGCACTCTCATCCAATTTAACGTATGCCATCTTCTCATGTATTGTGGATGTAACTCAAAGTTTCCCAAGTCTTACAGTTTATGCATTACAGAAATGCAGTCATGTAAGCCATAGTATCTGAATTTATTTTCTTGGTAGCCTTTTTAACCAGGGAGCTCCAAGGCTGGGGCTTCCTGTGTTCTGGGAGTAAAGCACTGTCTCCATCTCGCTCTCACTTGAATTCACAAAGCCAGCAAAAGAAGCCCTTCGCACCAGTTCTTTCATTGCCACAGGCGTCAGGGTCAGGCCACCTTCCCCAGAAAGCTCATCAGGTTGGCTGGCACAGCTTGGCCCCGCGTGCACAGAGACACGGTGCTTTGAACTCCAGGGGTGTTAAGTGTCTCAGGAACATAATTTTGAAACTGACCATGGGATAAACACCAGAATAAGCATCAGGGATGAAAGCATAACCAGGGCTTGAGATGAGTCAGCTGACACCACCGGGTGCTGAACCTGGTTCCAGGTTTCCTGGCAGCCTCAGCATAAAGGCAACTCCTGTTAGCAGATGCCTGTTGCTTTTCCTTGTCAGACAAAAGTAGGGCTGCCAGGGGCTTTCTACAAAATCCTCTATATGTGATACCTCTGTAGTCCAACAAAAAGGGTTTGCCCCTTGGTAAGGTCAAAGCTGAGAAGCACAACCAAGAGATAAAAGAACGAAGAAAGGAGCAAGAGCAAAGAGAGCTGTGGGGAAAATTCCCTAAGTAGAGTCTTCTGAACACGAAAAGCAAGGGCATTTTACTGGGGAAGCTTTGCATATTAATGATACGATTATGAGCAAGGTTCACCCTAGGTCGCACACCTGTGGCTTTTGCTGGACGGCCTTATCTGAAACAAACAAAAACAAATGAAAGGGACCTTCACGGTCCTTTAAAGGAAAAAGCCTCCCATTCTCCAAGTTGCCTCCAAAGTACCCTCGCAGCCCCTAACAGATACACTTGACAAGTCCCCCTCAGCAAGCTAAACGCCTTCCGAACCTGGGCTCCCAGCCACCCACCCCCAGGGAAAGCAGCCCAGGGACTCCGCCCAGGGGTCTCCCAAAGGCGATCCCCGAGGGACTCCGGAGGGGGATGGTGTGGGCACCCTTTTGCCCTTCAGTCATCTGCGTGGACGCTGTGCACTCCACAGACAGCTTGCCCCTTCGAATGTCCCGGTTATACTTGGGGCAAGGAGACCGTCAACCTCGCCTTCTGGCTCTCAGTACAAAGAGGTCAGC